TTATCCACACCTCTTGTAATTAGGTCTAAATTCAATGACACTCCTTCTCGATTTTAAAACTTCACTGTCATGCTCAGTCAGTGTTTGTCGGATTACAGAGTTAACAGCGATTGTTATTTTATAAAAATACCACTAAATATTTTATAGGGTAAATTTTATCCACATCTATTGTAAATAGACATAATTTCAACGATACCCCTATAAATGGACATAATTTTAATGACACTCTCTATAAATAGACCTATCTTTAACAATACTCCCTTCTGATTCTGAAATTTCAATGCACTCTCTTTTGATTCTATTATATTAACCTTTAAATTCATCAATTTAATATTTAATTTTATCAAATTAATATCCTTTATTTAATTTAAACTAAATTAACATTTCATCTTATCAAATCAACACAAATTGATATTTAATTTTATCAAATTAGCATTTAGTTATATTAATTTAATATTTTATTTCATCATATTATTTCTTTAATTTAACATTAAATTATTATTTAATTTCTTCAAATCAACATCAAATTGACATTTAATTTTATTAAATTAAAATTTAATATATTAAATAGAATATTAAATTTTTATTAATTTAACATTTAACCTAACAAAAGTGAAAGTTAGTTATTTAATTTAACACCAAATGACCATTCAATTCATTCAGTAACATTTAAATTTATTTAATTAACATTAATTTTTTCAAATTAACATTGAATTAATATAATTTTATCAAATTAAAACCAAATTAATATTTAAATTTATCAAATTAAGACCAAATTTATTTAAATAATATTAAATTTTATCAAATAATATTTATATTTTATATATGAAATGTGATATATGAAGAGTAGTCAGGTGACGTTATGGAGGACAAAACGATAGTAGAGAAGTTAGAAATGAATGGAGTTTTGACATTGATTTTATCAATTGTAATTTTATTATAGAAAAATTACTTTCAACTATAAAATAAATTTAAAATCCTATAATTTATAATGAACAATAAAAAACATATCATAGAGAGAACTTAGGTAATATAAAAAAATAAGAAATCGAAAAGTGTACCTATTACTCAACAACTTATAAGAAAATGGATTTAATGACTTAAATGTCTAATGGGTGTTTTCGATGAAAAAAAAATTAAAAAAATTTGCATGAAAAAAATTAAAAATATCTACATGAAAACAAAACTGCATGAAAAACATTAAATCTGCAAAATATATATATATAGTTACCAACTTAGGTAATGATCAATCACTATAGAGAAAGAGCTGAAGAATAATGGCTAGTTTCAGTTCCTTATGTCTTCCAGCAACTCCAAATCGTTTTAGACCTTCACAAACAACAAAAGGTGTGGTATATAGAATGAGAAAAGGGTTGAGGACATTTTAGTATATTTACATAAAAGAGGGTAGTTTTGACATTTTTAGAAAATTTATAGTCAAACCGTTACTTTTTGTACTGCAAGAGTTAAATATTACCGTTAAAAGGATGTCTTTGATTTAAAAGTATAAACCAGAAGAAGATGCACTGAAATTTTAAAATTGGGAGGGGGTGTTATTAAATTTAGACCTAACCAGAGGGGGTGTGGATGAAATTTTTCCTATAATTAAACTCAAATTACATGGCTATCCCTTTATAGTTGGCCTAAATATAATTTGACCATGTGCTTTTATAGCATGAAGTAGATCATATTTCCCCTTTGCAAAGGTTGTTCCCTGGTATCATTCAAGGATGTACATAGCTGTAGGCATCAATTTGATCGGCAAGTGTTAGTTTAGTAGCAATGCTTATTCATGCCGGTGAATATTTGACTGGGGCTATTAGATTTGCCCCTCTTCACTTTTTAGCTTCAAGTTGGTTAGTATTTCCTTAAAAACTTCGACTCTTTTCTAAATTATATTCATCATCTATATCACTTTCTGACCATTGGTTTTTGGTTGCTAACTGTGTGGCGTCTAAGTTGAAGTTTAAGATTGATGAGTTGATGTCAAAACTTGAGAAAGAAAGATGAGATAGATTCACTGAATCAATTGAATGCATTTGGAAATGGATTGAGTATCCTTATTGAGTTTTGTTTACCTATGTCATTCTTTTATGTTCATTGCAAATCTATAAAACTTTGATCAGTAGTTCCACATGTAATATTAGACAAAGCCTTGCTGAGAGACTTCAATGAGCTCAAAAAATGTATGCAAAGAGAAAATAGATAAAATTATTTTTAGCAATTGATATTTTGGTTTAAATGCTTTATTGCGTAACAACAGTGTGATAACTTATTAAAGCATTAGACTTCATGTTTGAATTAGTTTGAGAAGGTTTGTGGGAACAAAGGTGAACATTTGCGGTCCTTGAAAAATAGCATCTGTTAAATAGCATCTGCTGCGGTGCTTATGCCTACCGCGACGCTAGAATTTTGTTGTGACACTGTTGTCTATACCAATCCTGCTAGACCTTGTCGGGATATAAGTTGATAATTCCTACAACTTGTCCTTCTACAGTGTGGATAAGTTTCCTAAATTTATGAAGTACTACAAATTTAATGCACAACAATATAGCAAACTATTTAATTTATATATATATATATATATATATATATTGATTATATGGTCCTGCAAATGGTAACTATAGGTTGCAAATATCATTCTAATTTGATATGTATCTTTATGTATGAGTTAATACTTTTCAGATAAAAATTTAAATAAGAATGAGTAAGAATATAAGTTAATAATAATACGAATTCAAATTTTGTGAAATGAGAGTGCAAATCCATAGAGAATTCAGTCTCAATGCGCAAATCAACATGCGAAACATGAGAGCATCGACTGTTTTGAAGGATTACGTGATCATTTAAGGGTCTAATTTTTACCACAATCAAAAAATGCATCACTTTTGGTTTCCTCCATTCTTCTTGTAATATTTGAACACTAACAACAATTTTGTGCTAAAAGATACTCTACAATATAAAAAATTTATAATTAGTCATACAATATTTATTAAATAAAAAATTATTTATTTATTTGTAATTATATAATTTAAAATTAATTGATCAGAGAAAAAAAATAAAAAAAGAGGTAGAAGAGAGAAAAGTGAAGAACACACATTGTGTAAGAGGCAAAGTGGGTTACTTTTTGACAATTGATAACAGATGTCAATCATTAGGCAGTGTGATATTAGTACACATAGTTGAGGGTACAATTACAAAAAGGTGATAGTTGAGACAGTGATTTGAAGTAAGATAGAGACAAAAATATGGTAAATTACATGTATATCCCTTGAAGTTTGTTAAATAAACAAGAGATCCGCTCATATAGGATAATAACATTATATTCCCTTCTGTTTTGGTTGTCGGTATGACATTCAACAATATGACACATGTAATAAATTTTATTAATTTTCTTTAATAATTTTCACTTAATTTCAAATATGAAATTGAGATGAGGAGAAAATATATAGAGAATAGAAGCAGCATATATGATTAAGAAGTGTGATTATATTTGCATATGTATTATGGGACAATCTTTAATTAGTTGAGACAAAATCCTACTTATAATAAAAATAATAGGAGAAATCAATAGCTAAAATATTAACAAAATACACACAACATAACATAGTAATTGAAGGTCTGCTTTTAGTAATTAATAGATGTATACATGGAGTTTAGGAAGAAAAAATGGAAGAAATGAAAAGTAGACGAATTAGTCTTCTTTTCACCTTGTTCAAATTTATCCTCTCTAAATTGGGCGAAAAAATAAAATGAATGATAGGTATGCATATTTGTTGAAATGTAGACTATTTATTTTTATACCCTTTGACAAAAGCATAAACAAAGTTTGTTTATCAGATGACCTGATCCAAATCGAGTTTAAATACTATTCTCGGGCAAACAAATTGAGTTCCAACGATCTAATGTTCAGTGCGATTCATTTGAACTTTTTACAAATAGTCACCCCAATACATAATAGTCACCCAATAGGGGACCCATAGGATCGATCCATACATGATGATCCACCCAATAATAGGAACACCTCTTTGATTATACTAGAAGCTGTGTTGCTAACCATTTTAAGTGATCTCCAAAATGTTTATAGCTCCATAGGGATCAAACTAGAACTTAATTTGCTACAACTAGTGGCATATAATGTTTTCACATTGAGAAATTCTTACAGTACGTTTTTGAAACAATTGGTTAACTAAATAATCAGTACAAGTAACAGAGTAGCACCAAAAAGTGAAATGATAGACCACGGGCTGTTGAAATAATTATGCCTTAACTTGGTCATCCATTTGTATCGACGGCGTTTGCAATGTTCGTTAATTTTGTTGAAAATTTCGGAGTAACAAAATGATGTAGAATCTAGGATGACATTATTGCCTAATCTGTTCAACAGGCTCGAAACGGCTTCATCATCACCTAGCCAATTGTCAATGATTCCACAGTGACGTAGTATTTCAACATCCGCTGGGGAGTTGATGAGGCAATCTAAAAACTTCCTGTAATCAGTCACATAAGCCAGTTCATTTATGTCATTATATTGCTCAAATGCAACCAAATTTCTAAAGATGACCTCAGTACTATCATAAATACTCAAAGGTGGAATTTTCATGATTCCATTTTCGAACTCTATATCCAGCAACGAGGAACTTTCTATGGCCTTTTTGAATTTAACCCCAGCCTCTCGAAGCTGTGTGCTGCATTTTATGTATTCCCATGTTCTTTTTGCTCTTCAGCGGCCCGACGGGAAGAGACGGTCGTTTTAAATGAGGAACACCAAATATCATGTACAAGGCCTAGTAGATGTTTGACATTCTCCCTTGGAACATCGGATGCGTCTGAATACGTTGAACTTTGGGAAAAAAGATGGGAGAAGAGAAAGGGTATCTGAGAAATGAGATCATTGATATCTAATAAATCACTTCCAAGTAAGCGCTCGAGAACAAAAAATGGGAGTTGATTTTCAAATAACAATAGGTCTCGAAAAATTGTATTCGTGAACCTTTGCAATTTGAAAATAGGGTCGTCTATAACCTCTTCATATGCTAACTTGTAAAAAAACTCAATGATAAAACATCCATCAAGTAGCATCATTCACACAAACGCATCCTTCTCAAGTACAATGGACTCTGCATAACATTTCCGTGTCCTTTCTTCCAAATCTTGCATGGCATTGACAAATCTATCCACACTTGATTCATTTGTTCGCACAAGATACATTTGTAGGTATCTTATTTTATGCTTTTCCATCATTTCCAAGTTAGCTTTACCGTGATGATAAGGACCGATTGCAAGTATTTCTGGTTCATAGGCTAGCTCATTTTCCCTACGTAGCAGGCCATCCACTCTGAAGATGTAAGGCTCAAATGGTGTAGGTGACAAAGAGGCTAGCTCATTGTTGATGTCAATAGACAACTGGGGGCTCATTTGTTTACCCTTCAAAATTAGTAAATGCTATTGAAAACAAATTAGCAAGGATTAGTCAAAAGATATTATATCTCTGATCCACAAACAAAAATGGGATATAAATCTATGAAAAGGTTTACAAATAATCTCGGATAAAATAAGGTTTTTGTCGCTATAAGGTTAGCTAAAAAAACAAGGTGAAACTAAAAAGTTTTTTTTTTATTTATAGGCAGTGATATTTAGTTGATTTCTTTTTTCTTTTTTTTTCTTTTTTATAGTCTACATAATTTTTTTATTTGAGTGGTTGGAAATGAGTTACATGATATCTGGTTCAAAATGAGTTGGAAACAAATACAAACAAAAACAAGAACACATCAGAAATAGAGTGCATTACTTTGCTTACGTGACCATTGTTGAAGTTGTTAAAGTATGATTTGCCTTTCAAATGATTTGCGTAGTTAGACGGATATTTGAAAAAGATAGAGCATAGGAAAACAAACAATGGTTAAGCAATTGTACAACTTACTGATGGATTGCTCCTCTGCTTGGTCTTCTGAGCTGATTAATTTAATGAGGAATGTAAGAAATGTTGATGACAAAGCAAGTATAGAGGAGACATTAATTTATAGTAGGTTAGATTCATTTCTCAGAATTTAAGTAATCCAAGTGGAGCCCTCAGTGAGTTTTCTTTTACAAAAATGAAAGCAAATCCAAGTGGAGCCCTCAGTGAGTTTTCTTTTACCAAAATGAAAGCAAGAACAAAAATTGTCACAAGGCAAGTATGTTCCATGTGGAAAAGTGAAGATGTTTTTGACGCTCTGTTCATTGAACCAAAAATTTCGCATCGACCAAAAGACGAAAACTATCGAGTCCTGCCATATCTATATAATAAATTAGATAGGTGTTTGAACTTATGAGGGGTTTTTTTGTCATCCGTTTGCCAACTGGAAAAACTTCTTTTTGGAGGTGAATAGTCGCCACATGAGGATAATGTCACCTGATTTCTTTTTAAAAGTGTGGCCAAAATTTGTCGACTATTTTAAACCACTCAAATGAAGAAAATGAACTGTTACGGGTATTTGATCTTTAAAAAAAAAAAACTGTTAGGGGGAAAAAAAAGAAGAGACTGAACTAAAAAGAAAAAGTTAGAATTGATCCCATTTTATTGTATTCTTATCAACTTACATTATATCTTTATTTTTATTTTGTAGTGACTTTTGGTTCGGTGTCAAAAAAATAATAATTTTGATACTCGAGCTTTTGCACTGAACAAACCATCACATTGTATCTTTAATTATTAATTTGAGCGCCACATTGCCCCAATTGTTTATTTTTGTTCAAATTTTTTATGACAAAAATAAAATTTCACCAATTGTGGAGGAAATACCACATCTCCTAAGTCCTAACATTATGGCATCCCATTTTTCTTCTATGTGCACAGAAATTTTTTCTAGTTTTCTTGGCAAATGTGAAACTCCTACCAATAGTTTAGAGTATATTGTGAAAATAAAATAGAACTAAAGGGGCAATGTGGCAGTTCAAAAAAAAAGAGAAGGGGGCAATGTGAAATGAGAGACATAATTAAGGGAATTAAGAGTAATTTGCCTTTGTATGTTTTACGTACACAATTAGTGTTTGAGAGTGTTGGTGAGATGTCTTTCACACATTTTTATTGATTTATAATTGAAATGAGATTTATCTCTCATAAATTATCTGACGTTTGTGTAAATAACCTATCTTTTATTAATCGAGATGTTTTTTAAATTGACTCCATCACCATTGCCGTTTAACCAAAAAGAAAAGAAAAAGACCGAGGACCGAAGAGACTGCAACTCTTTCACTGCATTATACCTACAGGTTGAGCTAGGTTGAGGTACCAATAATATTTATTTCTTTGTAATTTATGCATTTAGTGTTTAAATTGTGAAAATAATGTTTTTTATATAAAAAAAACGATATATTTGATACTCTTTAAATATTGTAATAGTAATAATTTTGTTCAGTAAAATTAACAGTTGTAATTATCAAATTTACTTTTTAAGTTTATGTAGCATTTCTCTTCTAGAATAAGCTACTACTTATTTTTTCTTAACTTATCAAGTATGTTTTTAAAAGTCCATAAGGCAGACTCAGTAAACGAAGTTACCGTCATTGTGGAGTCTAAAAAGTGTTAGATATACGTACTCTTACCCCTTCAAACAGAGAATCTATTTCAACAATTTGAACTCGTGACCTTCAAATCACAATGTAACAATCTTATCGTTATAGATTTAACTTTTACACTAAATTATCCTATCAAAAATTATTATAAATAAGGATAATTTTATGATTTAGTTTAGTGAGATCAAGATCCAATTGGGTATGATTAAAACACTAACAGGTTCAATCAGTGTTAACTTGAGTTTGGGATCGATCCTAATGTTATTAGGATGGACTTCAAATGACCTCAGTTTTGTTGTGATGGTATTAGATTAAATAGTTCTTATTTTTTGTTTCATAATTTATTTGAAATGCAATATTAAAATTAAATTCTCTGGTATAAAAATCTCTCCGGTGAACAAGACATCATTGTCTATAAAGAAGGATTGTTTCTCATTGAGTATCAATGAGCAGCTTTTCTTTTTAGTTATCTCATATTTAAACAGCTTATCGAGTAAGTTCTTTAAAGCTCAGTCCCATGAATTAAATACATATATAGGAGGTTGTTAGGTATGGATTTTAATTGGGGTGCATTAAAATCTATGATGTTTTAGTGATTGAATGGAAAAACAATAGGTCAATTTTGTATCAATTACGAAAAAATTAAAATCTTTATTGTATCAATTTTGTTTGTATAATATTTAATCTGTGTCACTTTAGTTCCTAGTTAATTAGACAATTCGTTAAGTTTTTTTGACAAAAGTGACCATGTATCATTTTTTAGATGGTATCACATGTCAAACATGTGATCATTCCGTCAAAAATTTAACAATTTATCTATGTAGAGACCAAAATGACATTAATTGAATACTTTAGGGGTCAAATTTATAAAATTGATATAATGAGAATTATACCAACAAAAAATACATAATTTAAGGACAAAAAATGCTATTCACCTTGTAATATAACTTCTATAATCTATCTAATGAGTGGCAAGATGTATCTAATCTTCGTCCATTTTAATTCAATGATACAAAATTTATTCCAAAATTTGTTTTTTTGCTAAGTATTAATTTCTTAATCAACACATTAATACAATCTCATCAATTCACACCCACCTCTCTCTTCATTTTAATTTTAAATTAGTTAATTAAAAAAACTAAATTAATATTTAAAATATACTGATTGTAAGATTAATATTCAATTTTTGATATTATATATTATTTTTAGGCATGTAATTATTGGTATACACAAATAAAGCTGTTAAATTTTTTATATAGACTTAAAAACGTAACATCACCCCAATTTCACCAGTAATTAATAGTTACATTCTTGGTGCTTCCGGTTTGAGAGTCTTCCTAAAAGAGTGGTCGAAAATTATCTGTCTATCTGAACCACTCATATGAAGTTATTATCTTGGGCAAATTATATTTTAGCTTTCTGTGGTTAGAACTATTAGCACATCACTCTCCTCGTATTCAAATATAGTCGGGTAAATTATAATTATACCCCCTAAACTATCACTTTTTCTATTTTTATTCTCTTAATAATTAAATTTTTTACATTGTGTCATTAATTAACACTTTTATTTCACATTGTCCCAATCACAAATATTGGTGATCTTTTTAGGTATGGATTTTAATTGGGGTGCATTAAAATTCATGATGTTTTGGTGATTAAATGGAAAAACAATAGGTTTAAAAATGTATTCGGAAGTATGAAAAGTTTATAGCATATTGCATAAATATGAGGCTGCTCCTTTCTAAGCTCTTTAAAATTAGATGGAAAATAAAAAACTAAAAATAAAAACACCACATCTCTAAATATTGTGAGATCTCATTTTTGTCATGATATACTATTAGACAAAAGTCGATGATTAAAGCAGTGTGAAACTCCAACTAATAGTTTAAGGTTCATTGGGTAAAAATAGATAGTTAAAGGGGGCCAATATGAAATGAAAATCATAATTTGACCAATTCAAGTGTAATTTGCTCTTTGTACTTTTTTCGTAACTAAAGTCTTGATTATTGGCGAGGATGCCTTTCACACGTTTTTATTGAATTACGAAGAAAAGGACTGAGGATAGAGTAGACATTGACTTTTCCATAAGAAATGAATCTTTCCGATTAGAAATTAATGGCCCCTCTTTACTTGTTTTGCCATCAACAAAACATTTTTTTCATTCCCATTGAATTAATTAGGTTGGAAGACGAAGCGGGGAAGCAAAAAGACCCATTTGCAAATCATCAGTAATTAAGTCGTAGAAGAATTTTATAAGCATTTCCTTTGATTTTATAAGCATTCTTAAGTTTTCGGTAATATACTCAGAAGTGACGGTTTTCCAAGATACAAACAAAACACAATTATAATATAAGATCGAGTTTGGTTGTTTTGAGTTGAAACCAAAATTTTGAATTGTAAATTGATATCATTCGGTCGTAACACGTCACAAATATTTTTTGGTAGGATACTAAGTTAGTATAGCGTATTTTTCCTTGAAATTATTGCAGACTTTTTCAGGGTATCAAATTCACATTTTTGTATATAAAATGGCTTATGAGTAAAAGACTAATTATACATATGGAATTTTTTTTTTATTGTGCTTTATGCCAAAAATACTCCTGCGTATCTCCACAAAAATTAAAATACAAAATTGAATTTTCTGTGAGAGTTTTCAACATATTTACTTTTGATTCTTAGCATTTCAACATACTTATGTCCTCATTTCCTTGTTGAGTTATTTTTAATTAAATAAACTCACCTCATATCTACATTTTATTTTTATTTTTGTTTACAACTGTCACCGTGATGTTTTTAGATGAATTGGCTTTTTTCTGGATTGTCACTTGTGGGCTTGACTATGAATGAGACAACCACGGGGTCTGTTTTTATAAAAAACCATGGGCTCGATTTGTGATCCTAGGGGTACTTCTAAAAAATTAAAATAATGGAGGAGCTAGCCCACGGCGTCTTGCTTTGATAAATTTTATATTCATTTATCATCTCTCATAAATTTTTTTGTGGTACATTTGAACTTGTCTAAGGTATGTACTTATTCTGGCATTCTACAAAGATACAAAATAATTTTTAATTCCTGTATTAATTACTGAAATATTAATAAAAATCAACTAAACCTGAGTTTTAGTAATTGTTTAGCTTCAGAAAAATCAAATTGTTGAAATATTATCTTGGTTGAAACATAATCTTGTACTTACAGATTTTGAAGAAATACCAAATGTCCGAGCTACATATTTACATTTGTGAGAAGTATGCTTTCTCATTACATACAATATCTGTTGAACCTTATATCTCTATAGTGGATGAGCTACTACACAAAGAAAACAAAAGGGCCTATGAACCAGAAATGCTTGCAATTGGTCCTTATCACCATAATAAAGACCACTTAAAGATGACAGAAGGACACAAACGACGCTACATACAAGAGTTTCTTAGAAGAATAAATGACCAGAGTTTGTATAGATATGTCAACGCCATGGAAGAGTTAGAAGCAGAAGCAAGGAATTGTTATGCAGACCCCGTTCAACTTACTAAGAATGAGTTTATGGAAATGATGCTAGTCGACGGAATTTTTATAATGGAATTACTTAGAAATTTTATGTCTTCAGAGGCAAGAAAAATGAATATTTTGCAATCGGACCAAATTCAGAATATTTTAGTTCAAGGTATACTGTTATTTGAAAATCAACTATCTTTGTTTGTCCTCATCCGCCTATCGAGCGAGGCCAACGGACCAGACTTTTCAGTGGAAGGCGCTTTATGGAGTTACATCAATGGGCGAACCAGATTAATGCTCCGTCCTCATTTTAAAAGTCCACTGTGCGTGCTGAATTTCGCACAACAATAGAAACAAGAACAGAGGTCGTTCACGGTGAACTTGGGGTCATTTAGGTAGTGATTTCGACGGCATGAGGGCTCTGCAATCCGGGATGGAATATCCCTACAGGTGAGCTAATCCACTGGAAAGCAGGTTTTAGCAACAAGAAGTAGGTTAAGAGGGACAAAGGGACCTTAAGAACCGGTGATGAATTGATGTTGGGTCGCCTGACCGGTCCTGGGACACTGAGAAACGATCCTGCGATAGAAAAACAGGTTAGAAGGGTGTCGGAGTGCTCTCCGGCATATTCCCTCTGACGATCAAGTCAGTTTCTTGAGGGTGGGGAAGAAGAAAGCACTGTAGTTTTGTTTGAGAAATTTTGCATACCTTTACAGTGAAGGTTTCAAGACTATTTATATTTTCAGAAGCTCATGATTGCTGACAGTCTACTTAGCAGTCGTTCGTTAGAGATGGGGCAGTGTGCCCCTTACTTTTATGGGGGAGTGGGTTTTGTCTTAACTGGTCGGGACGCCGAGAGCCAAATATTTACTCCTCGAAATACCGAGCAGTCAATTTCCCCTCCTCGGTAGGGATGTATTAAATGCCCTGGTATAGGCATCTTTAATGCATTTCACATCTTGTTCTCATGCATTAATTACTATCTTATCAAAAAGAGGGTTCATTAAATGCTTACTTGCTTGAGTCGAACGTCAGTGGGGATATCCAAGTCTTTTCACAACTGATTTGATATTGACTTCCACATGTCTGTGTCTCCTTAATTGTGTGTCCTGCATCCCTAACTCTTCATATAATATTGAACAGAGTGCCCTCATAATAAGGTCTAGCATCCCCTAGGCTAGCCACCCACTCAATCATCACTCTCCTGTTTTATAGAAGCAGAGGAGTAGTTGGCTCCAAACTCTATGAGGAACACCTTGGCACCGAGGTCACTAGTTCATCTCGGATAAAGGGGTTACCAAGCCGAGGACACGTGTCACTATGCCGACGACAGCACCCCCTTGGCCTCGATCTGCACCTCCCTCGGCAGTGAGGCGCGTGTCACTGAGAACACGTGTTCGCACAGGGGCCGAGGACATGCGTCACCAATATGTTCTGTCTCAGAAATGTCCCATCATCCACCTAGGGAGGTAAATTTGCATCATCTTCTAGGCGTCATGCATTATGTCATACGTCCTTCATTTCTGGATGACTTGCATGATGTCACCATCTCCTATTCAGAGTTACCAAGATGTGCCACGGAGCTTCAAGATGCCACGGAGCATCAATATGCCGAGATTAAATTTAAGAGAGGCAAAGTTCCTGAACCATGGATGGATATAGAGTTCAAAAAGGATAATGCTGCACTGATCAAATTTAAAGTCCAAATCACATAGCAATTGATTATTTGATGTATTTTTTGGGGCTCAAATAACATGACATCAATCAAAGAAGCTCAAGTCAACTGTCATATCATTTGAGCTCTAAATGTGGTCCTAAAATTTGGTCAGTCTAGTATAACTGGTTCAAAAATGAAATTATGAGAATCCCACCTTTTATTATTGGTGATGACATATGAGAACTTTAGAAGTAGTGTCATGTATATTACTTTTAAGGAATTTATAGAACAACTCAATTCCACCATCAACACGGACGGAGCTAAAAAATCATACCATTCTTGAGTGATTACTTTAAATATATATATATTTTTTTTAATCCATAAAAGTAAGATGATATATTTATATATGAGGTTTTTTTTAACCATGTTGAACCATCTGCAGTTTTGACTCAAATTTTTAATTAAATTTAAATGAACATTTGAATAAAAATATTAATTTGATACAAAACGCTTCAATGAAGAAATTTAAATTTAAAGGAGGACAAACCCAAATTCAAATAAGAGTGAAATACAACCATTAAATTTTTTAAAGAGTGTGAACGCTGACCATTGAAGATTTGAGTCTTCGATGCATGGAAGAAGATAACAAATCAATGGTATAATAAACGAAAAGAATAATGAAAATAAACCGTTGGTTTGCGCACAAATACATATTTACATTCCAATTCTAGGGGTTTGTTGATTAACAAAAAAATTAGCTCTAAAGACTTCAATAACTCTGTTGATTTCTAAGAATAGCAGAAGAATTGAGAATAAAAAAGGAACTCTCTTATTATATTGAATAATCCAAAACTTCTTAGCCCTAAGGCTTACAAGAGTATAAATAATACTTAAATACTAAAATTAATTAAAAAATAACAAAACATGACCTAATTAGATCATGTATGTCACATGTGTTATGTCAACTAAATGAAAATTTTGACGTTATTGACTAAATGGGACTCATTGCTTTTTTTCAAAATATTCTCAATGTACAAAGCAAGACTTTTCATTATTGCATTTTTTTTTTTAAAGATACAAAACATCATTCCAAAATATTTCTCAGCTGCTTTAACTTTTGTAAAAGAGAATTCAGAGAGGACTCCACATGGATTACTTTAACTAAATGTTCCCATGACAAACATTTTTACCTTCATAGGTACAACATTCTTGGCTCGTGACAGTTATTATTTTTAAATTTCACTTTTTTAATAGAAAGATATACAAGACTACGTGAAATGTTGGAAAACAATGTGAATCATTTGTAGGTGGCCAACCTATTGATGGCAAACTTAAGGGCAACTTTTGTTACTTTAACTAAGTGTTCCCATGACAAACATCTTCAATTTCACATATGGAACATACTTGTCTTGTGAGTTATGACAATTCTTATTTTTATAACTTTTGTAAATGAAAGCTCTAGGAGAACTTGACATAGAATACGTGAATCATAAGAAATGCATCTAACCTATTACAAAAGGATGATAGTGCCTCATTACCATGTCATAGATTTTTTTGCAACCCAGCAAAATCTATCAGTATACACTAATTGATATGCCAAAAAAATAGGGTGGACATAATTAAAAATATTGAAGAAATACTTAAAATACATATTCGCTATATTATAACGGTGGGTCTAATATTTTTATCTTTGACTTTGGGTAGACACAAGTAATATATTATACAAATATATGTATACATTCCTAAGTAATAAAAAAAAAATTTTGAGGGGGTACACTTGCCCACCCTGGACCATAGCTGCCTCCACCCTTGCTCCCATTTAATTCTATATCCAACAAAGATTTGAAATTATTTTCAATTATGTACACACATAATAATAGCAATGATTATGTAGTTAATGATTGCCATTGTGCACTGTTTTATGCTGAAATTTACTCCTATCTAATCATATCCAAGAAAAATACTGAAATTATTGGCAGTGGTGTTATGCATATACACATAATAAAAACAATGACTGTAGTTTGGTCCTAACAACAATTCAAATGTTCTCATGAACATATTTAAGTCGTAACTCTTGCATGTTGTGATTAATATATTGTAGGACTATTTCCTATCATTTGTTTATTTATAGCTCATTTTTTCAAATTATGAAGTCAATGAAAAGAAATGTCAATGGCCTCCTTTAAAGTAGTGAATAATGAATGTTTTTCATACTTAATTTGTTGACTTAATCCACCACAACTGCTAAATTGTGATGTAGAACAGATTGTTGCTTAAGTTTAGGGCTTTTGATTTATGCCTTTAATTAGAATTTGTTTATTTTTGGAATTTTTAGTATTTTTCCTTATTTTAGTTATTTCTTTCCTAAAGTTATAGTTCTAGTCGAATTAGGTTTTGCAGCCTATATAAAGACTATTTCTTTTCATTGTAAGGTTACCTTTGATTCAATAAAGAATTTTCTTTCTGAGATCCCATTCTTTGAGCTCAGGGATTCGAGTGTATCATTTTTTTTTTCTTTGTTTGTGGATTCGAACAATTTTTCCAAGAAGCAAGCGGTGTCCTACTTATTCATAAGCTACCGCTACATCATTTGGTATTAGAACTGGCTTAAACCTATTCAGATGGCGAATGCTTGGAATGAAAGTGAAGTCCTTGACGGCAGTGACCGTGAGGAAGATATGGTTATAGGGGTTGAATTCAAAACTTTCCAATGTGAGACCCACCAAGCATTGCGGGAGGTCCAAGAGACTCTTGCTAGGCTGACGACAGGGAGTAATCAACGGGGTGACAGTCCTATGAGTCGTCAACCTTACTCAGAGTGGGCTGAAGTTTTTCGTGAATGCCATCCAGAGAATCCACGTAGGCAACTAGCCTATGAGGATAACTCGAGTGAGGATGAGAAAGATGTTGAAGCCATACTCCAGAATACTCGAAGGGGTTACAAAGGGGAACAAGATCGACAGACCTTTCGTATGAAGATGGACCTGCCCAGTTTTAATGGACAACTTCAGATAGAGGGGTTTCTTGACTGGTTGATATTGGTCGAGAGGTTTTTCGATTATATGGATATTCCTGAAGATAAAAAGGTGAAATTAGTCGCGTACAGACTATATAGAGGAGCTTCCGCTTGGTGGGAGCAATTGCAAACTCAATTTTAAATCTCAATTAGTGGTTAGGATTAGAACTCCTCCAATTTCTTTCATTTATACAACTAACTATATTCAAATTCAATTTTAAATCTCGTTTAATAAAAGAGCCAAATCTAATCAATGACTTCTACACCCATCTAAATCCATGAAAACAAATGTATCCTTACATATACGAGCCAAGTTCAAAGAGTCTACTACTCTACTTGGTCTTTGTTTATGCCCTGAATGTACCATGTGCAGATGTAGATCTCCTCAATACTTTTTTTCTTTTATTTTCTTTCTTGGTGGTGGTGGTGATGGAATACCATATGGTAGTTGTGATTTCCACCATATGGAGCGAGCTTAAGGTGGTGGTGCAACGTAAGGAACAGAGGAGGGGTTGGAAGGGGATCTACAATCGTAATTGGTGAGCAATTGAAAATGGCGGTATAAAAACTCGAATTTTCTTTGCCCCCATGTTTTTGTTTCCATTCAAGAATTTTATATTATAAAACTCGAAGAGATATAGTTAAACTAAGACAAGTTGAGGACATTAACAATCTCTCTCTTTAACTCAAACTGAAATGTTGCATGTTGAATAACGAAAAAGAAGAAATCAACTGCCTATAAATATGTATTCTTTCTACCTCCTTTCTATCAAGAGTTTGTTGGGTTTCCCTCCTTTGTGGGACTTATCAATTTGCTAAATATAGTTTTGTTAATTTTTGGCATGCACCTTGGTAAGCACATGGATTTTAATTTGGTGGCTTTCCCATGCATGACTCTTGGCATATTCAAGGCTTGGTTTGAGTTTTCACGTTAAAGCAATTTGAGCAGCCAAATAAGGTTACAAGCTTTTGTCATTTCCTTGGTTTTCTCTCTTCTCGGTTGGCTTGGCAAGAAGATTTCTTGGGTAGTCTTTGGTTCAACAGAAAATTCAGCCTTCTTCTTCTCCATTTTTGGTGCCACAAAAATCTGCAAATTTGTTCTTCAAGTGGGTAACATTTCTTCACTTGATATTTGGGTTTCTTGCGGTTTGTTCTTGGAGATTTGGTTCACTTATTGTGTGAGGTATTTTCCTCTTGTGATTTACACCTTGGTGTGTTTGTAAGGCTTATGCCTTTTGGCCACTTTGTAATCTGATTTGGTGATAGTGGAAGAAACTGACCTACCGGTCGTCGTGGATGTACCTCAAGTTATTTGAGGGAACCACGTAAATCTTGTGTGCTTATTTATTTTCTGTTATTTTATTATATTGCTTCCATTGATTTACACTTGTGGGAAAGCCTATTTTCCCCAACATCTGGTATCAGAGCAATTGGTTAATTCGGTTCCGATTCGTTATATTTCTGTGTGTGAATTATGGACGGCAACGTTGGACGTATGGTTAGTTTCAATGGCACAAATTGGGTGACTTGGAAAACTAAAATGGAAGATCTTTTATTTTGTAAAGATTTGAATGGACCCATAGAGGGTGATAGTGGCAAACCGAAAGGGATGAAAGATGACGAGTGGAAAAAGCTAGACCGGAAAGCTGTCGGTTTTATTCGGCAATGGATTGATGATAGTGTCTTTCATCATGTCTCTACAGAAAAATCTGCACATGGTCTTTGGACCAAATTGGAGAGTTTGTATGATAGAAAGACGGCAGTGAATAAAGCTTTTTTATTTCGAAAGCTTGTGAACTCTAAATATAAGGAGGGTACTCCTATTGCAGAGCATTTGAATGAGATTAAGAGCATTGTGAATCAGTTGGCCGCCATGAAAATTACTTTTGATGATGAGTTGCAAGCTTTGTTACTTCTTAGTTCACTTCCCGAAAGCTGGGAAACTTTGGTGGTCACAGTTAGTAACTCCGCACCTGATGGAGTGGTAACAATGAGTCAAGTTACCAGCAGTTTGTTGAATGAAGAAACAAGAAGAAAATCATCAGGTTCTTCTCACTCCGAGGCACTTGTAATGGAAAATCGGGGGAGAGGCAGGAGTAAGAGTAGGGTTCCGCACAACCGTGATAAATCTAGAGGTCGTTCAAGCTCGATGTCAAAAAAAGATGTTGAATGCTATTATTGTCACAAGAAAGGGCACATGAAGCGGGAATGTAGAAAACTCAAGTTCAAGGAGCAGAACAAAGAGAAAAATTCAGAGAAAAAGCAAATTGATACAGCTGTAGTTACCGATGGTGAACTCATGATTATTCGTGATGATGCTAGCGTTAATTTGATTGGCCAAGAGACGGATTGGGTAATTGATTCTGGAGCTTCATTTCATGTTACTTCGCGGGCTGATTTCTTTACTTCTTACTCACAAGGTGATTTTGGGAATGTCCGTATGGAAATGAAGATGTGTCAAAAATTGTCGGCATGGGTGACATTTGCTTGGAAACAATATTGGATGCAAATTGCTGCTTAGAGATGTGAGGCATGTACCAGATATTCGACTCAATTTAATCTCTGCTGGAAAGTTAGATGATGAAGGCTACAACAACAATTTCAGTAATGGAAAATGGAAGCTCTCCAAAGGTTCTCTAGTGGTAGCAAAAGGAAAGAAGACTTGTTCTCTTTACACTATGCAAGCAAAAATCTGCAAGGGTGTTGTGAATACCTTAGAGAATGACTCATCCACTGATTTATGGCATAGAAGGCTTGGACATATGAGTGAAAAAGGATTGCAAGTTTTGTCCAAGAAAGAGCTTCTAGTGGGGATAAAAGGTACGCCTTTGAAAACTTGTGTTCATTGTTTCCATGGTAAACAAAACAGAATATCATTCCGTAGAAACATTGCATCTAGAAAATCTCATGTTTTAGATTTGGTACATTCTGATGTATGTGGTCCTTTGAAAGTTAGGACACTTGGTGGTGCTCTATACTTTGTCACTTTTATTGATGATCACTCTAGAAAAGTTTGGGCTTATACACTGAAAACTAAAGATCAAGTTCTATATGTGTTTAAGATTTTTCAGGCCAAGGTTGAAAGAGAAACAGGTAGACAGTTGAAATGTGTTCGCTCGGATAATGGTGGTGAATATATTGGACCATTTGATCAGTATTGCACAAATCATGGTATCAGGCATGAAAAGACAGTTAAAAAGACACCTCAACAGAACGGGGTTGCAGAGAGAATGAATCGCACCATTCTTGAGAGAGTCAGATGTTTGCTCTCACATTCTAAATTGCCAAGATCCATTTGGGGTGAGGCAATGAGGACCGCAGTTGATCTTATCAATTTGTCTCCTTCAGTTCCGTTGAATGGTGATGTGCCAGAGAAATTTGGACAGGGAAGGAAGTCTCCTATGATCACTTGAGGGTATTCGGCTGCAGAGCTTTTGTTCATATTCCAAAAGATGAAAGGTCCAAGCTTGATCCAAAGCAAAGCAATGCATATTTCTTGGCTATGGGCATGAAGAATTTGGATACAGGTTGTATGATACAGTTGACAAGAAAGTTGTCAGAAGCCGAGATGTTGTTTTCATGGAAGATCAGACTATTGAAGACATCGACAAGCTTGAGTCAGCTGAGTCTAGTACTGATGATCTTGTTGATTTAGATCCTCTCAATCCCTCTGCTGTTCATGATATTGATGAGGAAGTGCAAACACCTCATAATGATGCAGCAGAAGATGATGTTGAGCCAGAGATTGAGGGGGAGCAACCACCCCAAGAGCCACTACCACAGACACCGTTAAGGAGATCTACTAGAGAAAAACAGACATCCAGAAAATATTCTTCAAATGAGTATGTGATGATATCAGATCAGGGGGAGCCAGGGACTTATCAAGAAGTCTTGAAGCATGAGAACAAAACTGAATGGTTCAAGGCAATGAAAGAGGAAATGAAGTCTTTGCATGAGAATCACACCTATGATTTGGTGAAGCCGCCTAAAGGGAAGAAAATTTTGAAAAATAAATGGGTCTTCAGACGAAAGAATGATGGGAACAGTTCTCAACCGAGATTCAAGGCACGACTTGTTGTGAAAGGTTTTGATCAGAGAAAGGGAGTTGATTTTGATGAAATCTTCTCACCAGTTGTGAAGATGTCCTCCATTCGAACTGTGCTTGGTATAGCTGCGAATATGAATTTAGAAGTTGAGCAGCTTGATGTGAAGACCGCATTTTTGCATGGTGACTTAGAAGAGGAAATTTATATGGAGCAACCTGAGGGCTTCAAAGATAAGGGTAATGATCAGTTAGTTTGCAAATTGAAGAAGAGCTTGTATGGATTGAAGCAAGCACCGAGGCAGTGGTACAGAAAATTCGATGCTTTCATGAGTGAGAATGGGTATTCAAGAACCACTTCAGACCATTGTGTGTTTGTGAAGAAATATAAAGATGATAATTTTTATTATTCTCTTGCTTTACGTTGATGATATGCTTATTGTGGGCCAAGATACGAGTAAGATTAGCAATTTGAAGTCAGAGTTGAGTAAGTCCTTTGTCATGAAGGATTTGGGTCCAGCAAAGCAAATTCTTGGGATGAGAATTGTTCGTGACAGATCACATGGGCTGATTTGGTTATCTCAAGAGAATTATATTAAAAAGGTTCTTGAGAGGTTCAATATGGACAAAGCAAAGCCTGTTAATTGTCCACTTGCAGGCCACTTCAAACTAAGCTTAAGTCAGTGTCCTACAAGTGATGAAAAGAAAAATGAGATGCAGAAAATTCCCTATGCTTCAGCAGTTGGTTCTTTGATGTACGCCATGGTTTGTACTCGACCGGATATTGCTCACGCAGTTGGGGTTGTCAGTCGTTTTTTGTCTAATCCAGGGAAAGAACACCGGGCAGCAGTGAAATGGATTATGAGGTATCTTCAGGGCACTTCAAAGATGAGTTTGTGTTTTGGTAAAGGCGAGCCTATTCTTGATGGGTTCACAGATTCTGATATGGCTGGTGATGTTGATAGTCGAAAATCTACTTCTGGTTATTTGATTACTTTTGCAGGGGAGCAGTGGCATGGCAATCAAGA